TTAATTTAGCATTATTTATAAATTCATCAATCGTAGAACTAATTAATTGGGAGAAAAAATATTATAATAACATTAGAAAGCAGTAACATTCGCTAACTTCCTCCGAATTAAAATGCTCTTAAGAACCAATTATAGCAGACTCTAAAAAGTAACTCAAAAAATGAAAGAAATTGTAAAGTAACGATAAAAATTTTATTATTGTTATAAAGGAGAAATTCCAGGAGAATTATCCAATCTCTAATAAAAGATAATCAATTGAACATTTTAACCATAATATAGTTATAAAACAAACAGAAGTTTAATTATGTAATTAAATATTAATTAATGATTTTGTAGAAAAAGTTATTATATTAATCTCTCGTAGAGATCACAGAGCGTCTAAGGTTTACATTAAACACTTGCTAATACTTCGTTGACTGCGGCAAGCACGAACTACCTCTTTCGAAAAGATTTGATTCAAAGCTGAATATCACGCAACTTGGGTTTGTTATCTAGATCTATCAAATGATAAAGTGGTCTACAAATATTAGTTAATAAAGAGATTCCATTACAGTGCCATAAATGATTACAAGGCAAACAGAGAGGGTCTTTATTCGAGTACTATGCTTCTTCAATTCGATATATTTGTCTTCCAATTTACAGTTTACTCCATTTAATGTACTAAATTCGAAATCGCTTTTTAGTTTGTGTTTCCATAAAAAAATATAGTAATTTTAAACGACAAACTTTAAATAGAGGGAAATAGTTTTAGGAATTTACGATGAATTTTGGAAGGATGAATTGTATAATCCATCATATTCGAAAATTCGTCAAATATCTAACCGTTATCCTTAGGATTCAAACATGCGTTACCTCATGGGAAGTGAGTGTTTTGTGTGATGGATTTTATTTTATAATTGGTATCAAATAGTTGACTAAGTTAGGTAGTTGATTAGCCTTATAATTTTGAATCCAACCCACATAGAAGCATTATCCAGATGGTAAGTCAGAAGGCATTTTGGATCAAGCATTGGATAAATTACCGTTCACTTAGCACTTCTTTGATCGTATCAATCCGCATTTATATTACATATAGAATAAAATCGCGAAAAACCCCTAGGGTTAGCCTGATAACAAAGAAATTCTAATCTATGATTCCGTCTACCACTGGGGATATTTTGCATCAGTACTGCGGTCGTTGCGAGTGAGTAGCAGAATTCCGATAGACCAGTCATCACTGGAGTTCAAAACTGGGTCGCGTCATTAGGGGTAGCATTGTTCTATCCTATGGGCCATTGCAGCTGTATGTCTAGCTTGATATCTATAGTTGGCTCTATGTTTAGGATTATCAATATTTACTTTTAAGCCTTACATGCATTACCATCTAAAAATACCAATAAATGCAATTTTAAACAAATTTGTTAAAAGATGCACACACAACATCTTTATTTATGTTAATTTAACTATACGCTGATAGTAGATTAAATTTTAGTTTAGATGCTTGACGCAACGTCTGTAGAAAAATAGATACTGTGGCTTACAATGTGAAACGTACACTGAAAAATGTAAAATTTACCATGACAATGCTTTACACCAAAATGTTAGTTTATTTTTACCGCAACGTTTTGGTGACGATTTTGGTAAAATTAACAATAAAATATTTTTTATAATATGTGATACGGTGGCAAATGCAGTAAAATTTGGTAATATTATCATTTTAGCTTAAAGCATGGCACACGGAGAAAATAATTATGGTAAAATTACAGTACTGTATGGTGGTAACATTTCTGGTAAAAAAAAACAGCAACATAATTCTGTTTAATAAAGCCAAAATACACTGTGTTTAAACCATTCATTTCCGTTAATATAATAATGGTTTAACTGAAATTCTGGTTTTCAAAATTATAGTTCTTATTACCAAGCATTTCAAATAAATATAAAACTGAATCGAATAAACGGTTTTTATGCCATAGTCAAAGATATTATGAAAAATTAAAAATTTTACCACATATACCAACATTTATCATAAAACAATATTTTACCACTAATTTTACCAAAATCCTTACCGAAGCAAAATTTTTACCGAAGCACTTCGGTAAAAATTACCGAGCTTTATGGTGTTTCCACTGAATTAGAAATACTAAATTTCCATTGAGCCAAAACTAGATAAATTGTACCATATTCAGGTAGTTTTGACCATACTTTCTTTTTCTCGGAGCATAAAAAACGTTTATTCTGCTAAATTTGCTTTTCAGTTTTGTATTTTAACTAAATGTGTGGTAATAAAAACTAAAATTATGAAAACCAGAATTTCCGGTAAGCTGTTATCATATGAGGGAAAAATTACGAAATGAAAGAGTCAAATGTTGTATATTTTGGTCTTATTCACACCGAAATTAATTTTGTTTAACCAAATGTTATTTTTTCATTGTTATTTTGCTAATTAATTAAAAATTTAGAGCAAAAAATAATTTGATGTTCATAATAATAAAGTTTCCTTGTGCTTTTACAATGTTTGTTTTCTTCTAATTCAGTACTTTATTATTATTTTTAAAGGGTAAACCAAAACTTATTTGTGGAATTTGATTTTGTGACAGAAGCGAAAGAAGAATCTCAATAATGAAAAATATCTCAGCCAATGACTTAAAGAAATAAGTTTGTGTTAGAGAGGGGGACGTTATATAATTAAGGTAAGATTGAGAAAATGTCCGTTAAGTGACGAAAAATGAAAACAAAAATTGTTATACACTTTACTTAAATTCTGAAAAGAAAACTTAAAAAATTCAGCTACTAACATAAAATTTTATGGAAGACTTTTCTAAGCCAGTGATATAAAAATAAACAACTAATTTAAATGAGTTTGATATTCGAATACCGTGCTTAAATTAACAGATACGAAGATAATTATTTTTTCAAAGCAAATATTTTCATTCGAATACTGACGAAATAAATGGGAATAATCAACGGAATAGGATTTAAAAAAGTTTGTAGATGCAATGATGAGAAAATTTTTTTTTTGAAAATATACTTCATGACTGAAATTGAATTCCATTTTTTGTATAATTTCAATTACATTCTTTCTTTTCGAGATAATAAGATAATTAAATTTCATGTTTAAATAATTGATAATAACACATTGTTACTGTCCCCATAAATAAGAAATTTGGGATAACAAGCTTGTTAGCATGATGAGAATAAACAAAATGTTTCTCGTGAGCAGTTATTTTTGTTATATGTGAGACATTGAGTGAGATTCTGAAAAACAAGTTATCAACGTTATATTAGTTCATTAAAACAAAAACTTTACTGAAGTTGTATTTAAATTTCGCTATTATTTTTAAGTAATAAAAAGAATATAATTACTTTTTTCTTTTTAATTAACCTGTTTTATATTTTTTAAAGCAAGCACTGCAAAAACTGGATATTGGGAAAACTGCAAAAACTTTTCGTTTTTGATGAAAATGTTATTTGGGAAATTCTCTGATTGAACATTTCGTCTAAATGAAATCTATGAACACAATTGATTAGGGAATACACCAAAATTTAAAAAGTTGATGAGTGAATGAGTTTGAGTTTTCAGTGAAAACCAGGATTTAAGCTCGGAATCGGCAAACCTGCTTTGCAAAAGAACTCACTAACCCCTGTATCATCCCGTCAAACTGCAAATGGGTAATATCAGATTAAAAAAAGTTGAATATTTACCTAAGTTGAATATTGACGCAACTAATGAGGAAGCTGTACCATGAAATAGATGAGGGTTGGGTACATTAAAAAAAAATAATGTGATTTTGTGACAAAATGATTGCAAAAAAAAGCATAAAAATGTCCGAATCGTCCAAAAATGAGAGTTTTTTTGAGAGTGTTATGGTTCTTGAAGATATTTATATGTTGTGCCAAAGTATGATTCATAATAAAAGAGAAGTTAGCTGTTGTGATAAAAAATACATAAAATGAAAAAGACTGCATTATATAATAATAATCATAATATCATAAATAGATATGAATACAAAATAAGTATTCATATCCATTAAAAAGAAACTAATATTTCTGGTTCAAAGGTCTTTGCAAGAAGACTTAGAAGAAAAAAATATTAATCTGAAAAATAAAAACTCTTAAAATTCTCTTTCAAATATGATTAAAACATATTTTTTTAACAATATTTCTTAATTTTTAATTAAAATATTATGAGAAACTAATAATTTTTACTATGATTAGTCTTTTTAATCTGAGGAGAAAAGACAAAAGAAAATGTTTTGAATTGTTTTACAAATTTTAAGTAGATTTTAAAACTTATTTTAAAATTTTCTTCTTCATAATTTCTTTTATTTATATGAAAAAATTTGCTTATTTTGTGGAACTACTGCTACTAAATTTTATGAAATTCAGCCTAGTTATGAAGAAAAGAAATAACATTGGGTGATAGTTTTATATAGTTTTAAAAGTTTTTAAGTTATTAGTTTAGAGGCATAGTTTTTTAAGAAAGGCAAAAATCACTTTTAATTGGATACCTGTAAGCGACGCGTCAAACGTGATTGGCTTCTGAATCGACAAATTCTACGATTTACCTACTATTATATCACTGAAAGTATTCAATTTCAGAGCTTGTTTAGATTTTCAGGCAAGCTTTTTTTCAACAGACGATTTTTTCGAGTTAAAAATGTTGTATAGAACTCTTTGTATATTTATCAATGTAAAAAGGTTTTAAATAATTATCTTATATCAAAATGTGGCAAAAATTGCACATGGTCCATTTTGAAAATATGTTTCTATTAATATGTGTTTATAGAAATAATGTGTTTTGTATGTACTGATCGATTATTAAGTTGTTAAATGGTCTAGACAAATGTTTAAATATCTACGATTTATGATTACTACTAGTGAGCTGTAAACAGACATCGTAATACGAGTAAACTGATTTTAATGTACCTACGAAGCTTTGAATTTATTATGTTCTGATTTTAATGTGTGATAAATAAAGTTATTAATATTATTTCCTCCTCTATCCATATACAATCTTTCAATTTATTTTTCCGGTAAGATTGTTTCTTCCATTGATTACTTTGAGACCTTACAGTGGTCACAGGTACGTTTACAGTCACATTTTTGAAACGTTTTAAAAAGCATGTGTTGTTTTAAGCTCTGTGGTATAAAAAAATCCCACAAAACTTTTTTGAATAATTTTCAAGTATTGAAATTTTTAAAGTATTTATGCTTTTAGCCTTTGATCTTCTCGAAAATACTATATTCAAAGTTCAATATTTCTATTTATTTTGAACAAAAATGCCGTGCCTTTTATTTCTTATCAGCTTCTATTTAATATTAAGATTACAAAAAATAATTAATAATTTCTAAAATGAAAATTCATATTTTTCTTTTCCTCGTAATTTTTTGTGTAAGATTATAAGAGAATGTAAAAAAATTGAAGATGAAATAATTATAAGAAATCTGATATTCGCAAGTAAAATGAAATATTTCCTAGATAATGTCCCGGAAATGCTTTATATGATTAAGTCTATGTAATTTTTATATTAACGAGTCAGTATCGATAAAATATGAAGAGAGTTTATCATAATAGTTAGAATTATTGGCTTAAAGAAAATAAGACGAATTTAAGTTTGAAAGGAAATTTGATAGTTTTGAAAATTAGTTACTTGAACACAATTTTTAAAAATTATAAACATTTAATCGTGTTAAATATTTTTTTAAAAGTGTCATATTTTCAATATTTGCATTACGAGGACATTTAAGAAAAACAATAAAAATTGTGCTTTGTTTTTGAGAAAGGAAATATTTTTTAAGCACAAGTACAGTATTCCATGCAGAAGCGGTACCTCATATAGGGTTAACTATTCGAAGTTTCCCCCCTTTTCTTGAATATGGCTTTACGGAAATATTCTCGTAATCATTTAGAAATAAGTATTTTTAAGACATTGAAATTGTTTTTTAATTACTTATTGGATATATTGTTTCCTGCTACGCTTTGCTTTGAAAACTATATTGTTCATTCTCAAAAAGTTTTAAAATTAGTTAAAAAGATAGTCAGTAGATGTCACTAATAACTTAGAGCAGCTAAATGCAGTTAAATTAAAAATCACTCGTTAAAAAATTGAGTTGAAAAGGCTCCATATTGTTTATAGAATAAGTAACGCCGTATTTTGTAACTAATTTTGAAATAAAGCGAAAGCAAATGATCACGTTTCCTAAAAAGAATGTAGCTAATTGTGCATTTTTTTGTTTTTGTAAAATTGATTTCTAAAACATTGGCCATTTTCGGAATTTTTCCTCGGTACTCTTTCAAACTTTAACACAGTTGATTAAAAGCCCATAAAAGCGTTTTTTAAAAATGATTCATTTTACCTTTTTTAAAAAATTCAATTTAGTGGCAACTATTATTGCAACTATTATTATTTATATTTTACATGTATTTTAAAGCGTCATAATTTGTTTCGAAGCAGCGCCAAAATGTTTTATTTACACTGTAATATCATGTTTCTAAGATTTAAGTACAAAAACATTTCTGAAAGGGGACATTTTACTTTGTGGTTTTCCGCAAAGCTGATTAAATCAAGATTCAGTAAAAATTGTTTAAAAATAATTCTAAAACGTGGCTTAAGAAAATATATTTTCATTTTTTAAATTTTTTCTGTCAGAAATTATCTAATTGAATGCAAACAAACTAAACGTAAATGTGATAAATATAAACCTTTAATTATCATTTACGGTGATTGTTTAGATTTAAAATAAAATGGCATTCAGAAAATAAAATAGTTGGAAACTCAATTCTATAGACCAGTGGTTTCCAAATGGTGTTCTGCGGAATCTTGCGGTTCCCTGAAAAAGTAAAAGGGGTACCAGAGAGTTAAGACTTTTTTGTACCTCACAGTGATAATTTTTGAAACATTATTTACATTTAGACATAATTAATAACCTTCTATTTATTTAATATTTTGGTTGTCTTAAGGAAATTAAAGAAACTTTAAATAAAAAAGAAATAGTAAAATGTTTTTTAATAAAATAGTAATTTTCAAATAACAATATCTTGAATATATTTTGAAAGGAACCTGTATTTATGAGAAATTCTACAAAATTTCTGCAAATCAAAACAATATAACTAAATTCGTTAAAGAAATGTGCGTCCCTGGTAACCATTTCAATGTTTATAACTGTTATTTCAGCTTTCATTTCAACAAAAAACAAAACGGGATTTATGTTTTCATTTTCGCTTATGTATACACCCCTAAACAAATTTTAAACTAAATTAGTTAAAGTTTCAGGACTGTTAATTCTTATTAAATATAACCTAATAATATATGTAAAACCTAATATAAGATTTTAAATTAAAAAACGACAAAAAAGAAATACCATTTCTCTTTATAAATATTTTCAAATTAAAGTAGTCTTTTATTCATTAAAACGTTCATAATTGCTTATATATGCTTTATTTTATATCGTTTTGATATACTTTATTATTTATTAAGTCGGGGTACCGCTGAAAAAAAGTCCAATTATTTAGGGTTCCACAGTAGAGAAAAAATGGGAACCACTGCTATAGACAGGCCAAAATATTTATTAGTTAGATTCCAGACGTAAATAGGGAGATAAGATCTTATAGAAACAGGTTCATGCCTTTCGAGATTAAAATGTGAACCTGTGAAAATATTACGAAATTCGTTTTTGAGACATAAGAAGAAATTTATTGCTTTCATGTATTATTTATTTGTTTAGATAAGTAAGAAATGAGTTAAAAGATATGTATGATAAGTAATAGTTAGTTTTATAGAATATTGTCATAGCTTATAAAAAACCCATTAAATGTATCATAAAGTATAGAAAAAAAATCGAAATATACGCATGTAATGCAGGAAAAATTTGTGAAGTATATAAAGATCGTCTTGAAATTATTTAATACAATTTGCTTCAATTGGATAAAGAGTTTAGTTTGAATGAAATCTTAACCATTTTTTGGATATTTATTTCGCTGTTAGTTATTTCAATTTTTAACCATGAAGTACTTATTAGGAATATTTTTTATAATTTTTACTGCTGAAAGCATTCATCTTGGAAGAACCCTTATGCCTACAACAACTTTAAAAGAAGCTTTAAAAATAATCAAGTGTGTTAGTGAGTATTTTTGTATCATATCATATCATATCATATCATATCATATTATACAGAACACAACTATCTTGCAACGAAATATTTCCCAACAATGTCGGTTAATCTAGCGTCTACTATAATAAAATTTTTAAAATATTCCATAATGAACAAGAAAATATCATTCTTATGTTCTTGAATCTAGAACATAAGAATGATATTTTCTTGTTCATTATGGATAATTTTAAAAATGTTACTATAGTAGACTCTAGATTTACCAACATTGTTGGGAAATATTTCGTTGCAGTCCAGTGAATATTCCTATTGATCGAAATTACGCAAATTTTGTTGAACAATTTGAAACGGAGGAAAAGTAAGCTTATATTTTCATTTTCAGTTGTAATTCAAAAGAATGCGCATAAATTTTAATGTTATATTTAGATTAACAATTAATGTTATTTATTTTATATATAATCAGTGATATGATTTAGTTGGTATACGCGTACCAGTTGAATCACATCCCTAATTCTTTAAAGGAAATATTTAAAAAATAATGTAAAAAACCTGAAATTTTGAAATACTTAGTCTTAAAAGTATTGAAATCTTTGATACATATTACGAAACCATCATCTTAACTATTAAATAAGTAAAGGTTTTTTTTCAATAAAATTTTTTTTTAATCTATCAAAACCTTTTAAACATATCAATTCCTGAGTGGTTTGAATTCCGTTAATAAGTGCTAAGCAAAAAAAAGGATTTTCTTTTTCTGTAAAGAAAAAAATAATAAAATTCTGTTTTTTCATGCTTTGTTTTCCTTACTTCGACATATTTTATGGAGCAGAATTATTTAATTATTGCATTAGTATTTTTTATTTACATGTTTTCACTTTCACATTTCACCCTTGCATTATTTTGGAGGAGTTGCGTTTCATGGATATTGAGAACTGGAGAGTCTACTGCATTAGAATAGATAATAAAAAGATACTGCCCCATGTTTAAAACAATTGGCTTGTCTCTGATATTATAAATGATAGCAAAAATGTAGCATGAAGAGCTTAAAATTTAGAACTTTGCTGCACTAGGTTTCATTTTCTGTAGAGGATTAGACAGCTTAGCCAACTAAGTGAAAATTATTTTTCCAAATTCTTCATATTAGTACACCGAGTACTTTATAACCAGAAATTACACCGAGAAAAAAATGTGGCCAAAACTACCAGAATATGGTAAAATTTACCGTGTTTTTTCGCTTATAAGAACGCCAAGTAATTCGACAATTTTTACTCTAGTGCTTTGGTTATTACTTTTAGAAAAAAAACAGTAAACAGTTTTCATGTTATTTGGAAGGTAAAATTTGGTAATTTTATCAAAAGAGCCGGTTTAACAGCACTAGAATAATTTAAGATAGTGAAAAAATGTTTAGTTTAATAACCTATATTTAATTCAGTAAACGCGTGTGAACTTTATTTTGATCTGGCAATTGTTGTCATTTCTATGCAATCTAAGAGCTAACATTTATCAACTTTTAAAATTATGAAAAATATGCATTTGCTACAGCCTTTTCCAACATTTTAAGATTGAATCATGGCGGAAGCGGGTTCATATCCCACCATCTTTTTACTTAGATTCATTTATTTATTGTGACACAAACATATGCAGGCATGTGTCATCCTTACAAAATTTGGTTTAAAAGTCCTAGTCAAGTCGAGGAACAAATAGCACAGGATCCTTCCGAGGTATAATCCTTCGACAAATTTTTTTTCTTCTTTGCTTCAATGTTTTAATTTTTCAATTAATTATTATTCATTAAATCACGCTATTTTTTTATAGATAAAACTGTCGAAGCTTGCAACAGATCTTTACAATGTGATAACATGCTTCCCGTGGAAGTAAGTAAATCGAAAACTTATCTTTATTTACATGCAGGGTGACAAGAAATAACTATTTTTTAACTCAACATATCCTCTTGGAAGATGTTACGGTTCCTTGGTTACAAAATATTGGTACAAATAAAATGTGGAACTTCAACCAAGATACTGCTTTAGCACACAAAGCTATAGACATTCAAGAACGGCACATTCCATAGCACAAAAAACAGCTTCACCAGGCTTGTATTCAATTACATTTACATTTGATTTATCTTGATAACAAGAATTTGTGCTAAACATTATAATATTTTGTGATAAACATTATAATATAATATATATCAAAATAATTAATGGGCAATAAATGGAACCGAATGTGAGTTTCCGCTCGTTTTCTCTTTGCATTAAGGTTAAAAGTGGTCACTTTGAAAATATGTAAATATGTTAGCGATTTTAATATTGGCATTCATTGAATCACTTCATTTCGTTGTTCATATCATTTTCATACTTTAATAAGCATTAAAGTTTTATAGTACATGTGTTCATATTATTTCTAATCACTGTGTAGTTTTAAAGCAAGCAGTCTGATAAGGCTATGATGTTATAATTTTGCATTTTTGAGGTTTTAGTGCTTAAGTTTGCCTAAAATAACTTGGAAAATATTTATATGCTAGAGTATTTTTTCCCTATGTTTTACAATTCGTAATATCTTTCAGTTTCATAGTAACGCCTTCTGAAAATAAATAATTTTTATGTAGGAAAATATAAGAGAATGAGGCGTGTGCATATGTAAGTACTTTTACAATTTTAGGCATTATGTATAGAAGCAAAAAATTGTTTAATTAAATGAAAGATGTCATTAAAATCATAATATATGCGTTAGGTGTTAATGGAACACAACCAGAGAAGCGCAAATCACAATAACCTGGTCCGAACGCAAGTAACAACGTGCTAGAGTTAGCCTCCTAGCGAACTGCCTTCATTTTCTTTGTGGATCACCTATGAGATGGATGCGTACTCAAATGAGAAGGCCGAGAGAGAGAGAGAGAGAGAGAGAGTATTACATGGACGGTTGCTCCTTCCTGCATGCTCCTTTCCAAGTTGCATGCAGGATACTGGGTTTGGCAAGAGTGTCAGAGCGTCATTTATAACGGACGACTTTCGCATCAGTCAGAGGCGTGAATCCAGTTAGCGGGCACTGTCCAAAGCAGTTCACATTTCCTTTAATATTGTGTGGCGAGTGCTGCGAGATTAAGGAATGCATCCTTATAATGTACAGGCAGTTCAGGTTCTGAAACCATCGGAATACCAGACACGTGCCAAGTTTACTACGTGGTTTCTGCAATAGACGGCTGTGAACCCGCATTTTTGTGTACATGTATTGTTCCCTGGTGAATGCTCATTCACACGTGATGGTATTTCTATAATGTGTGAGCAACTGAAAATCAGTACGCAGTACGTCCACGTTTGTTCCAGTGACGTTTCAATCTAAATGTTTGGACCGAAATCGTGCATGATCATCTGATTGGGCCATACCTAATGCCAACACGCCCAAAGTGTAGATGTGCGTAACGCCTCAGATATCATGTATCTGTTGGTGATGGATAGGACGTGGCAGTCCACTTGCCAGCCCATTTACCCGATTTGTCATGTCTGAGCTTTTTCTTTTGTGGTCATATGAAGAACATCATCTGCGACGATGGTCCCATAGATTCTTTAGAAAAACTTGTTGCTCGGATATCCGTAACTGCTGACACAGTAAAGAGAGATGCCTGGTGATTTCGCCAATGTAGCGGTCACTTCTTCGACGGTGTGCAGTCGGCAAAAAAAAAAAGAGAAAAGATATCACCCTGACTAACTTTCGTTCTAATGATCGGATTTTCCCGCACCTTAAATATGCAAATTATTCAGTACTAACTATTAATGAAGTTACGTAATCGGACACGAAAACGTTCTTTCTCTGAATAAACATATATTTGTTTTACATATTTGGATTTTCAACCTTCAAAATATAGGGGGTAGCCACAATTTGGGAAATATAGTCCCCATAGTTTAATCAGGAGAGCGATCCAAAGTTCGGACCCCTTAATGTTAATTTTACTTTCTGTTATATTTTTAAAACTAATTAAGCAATTCAAAAATAATTACACCACTTATAAACCCATTTACCCAAAGAAAATTCCACGCAAAAAAAATTTTTTAGTAATTATTTATTACTTTTTAACCTTTAATTTAATTGAAGATGAAGAAATGTTAAATTATGAGGTATAATTTTTTTATACCATATTAATCTACTTAATTTTCTATTAAAAATTCTAAAGTTTTAACTGTTTTTATTTAGTAGAAGCTGAGAAAAACTAAAATTAATTATTTTTAAAAAATAATTTGGTGACAATGAGGAAATATTTAAATGGGGTGATTAATATTAAAATGTGGTTAACTTACGAGGAACTTGACTTACGCGCGTAGCGTAAAATTTAATTCAAAATATTTCGCTAATAAGCGATTGCTAATCTTTTTTTTAATTAAAAAATGCGATGTTTTTTTTTAGTCGTTTAAAAATTTATTCGTAATTTAGTAAAGAAATTTGAATGAAACATTTCATTCAATGAATGTCGATGTCCAATGAATAATTGATATAATTTCAATAATATACACAAGTATGCATAGATTTGGAATAATATATTTATAAATTTTTTCAATATATATTTTATAATTATTAATACGAATACGTAGTTAATATTTTTAAGCATCTTAAAATTTCTGAACATTTTATTAAATGTTATGTAAACGAAATACTATTCTTAAACATAGCATATTTCAATGTTTTTAAAATGCCACTTAACAATCAGCAATTTCTTCAGCTATAGAAAAAAGTAATATCGTAAATTATATAAACCTTGTGAATGTGCATTAGAATTACTATACAATCTACATTTTATTTTTCAGGCCCATTTTTCTTTTTTCTTCCAACTTTCTTGCCTAGATGACTCGATTAAAACTGTAAAAATGATTATCCTTAAAATTTAATATATAGTTATAATAATTTATGTAAATTTCCTTTTATTATGAAATCCTCGTATAAATAAAGTAAAAACAACATAAGAAACCCAAATAATGGCATATATAAAGTTCCTGCATTCATATTCTAAAAGCTTAGAAAATCATAAATAATTCATAAATCGTTTTTTATTGTGAGCTATTATCATCTTTTTCTCATCGTTACCAAACTACAATAGAAGATGGTTAGAAGCCTATAACAAGCAATGAGAAATTTTTGTAAGTATCAGAAGCACCCTTCCAACAATTAGATCCAAAATTTCTTTTACTTTATATACATAAATACTTCTACCATCACCATGTATTGTCATAAACTTAATTTTAGCCTTCCAGTTAAAGAATAAAAATTTCATGATATTTGTTTTGATTCTAAGTTTTACAGTAGCAATAAATTTTTTAGTCATAAAGCACTAAATATGGAAAATTAAACAATGTTTAGGATGCAACTGACAAAAAGCAGTAAAAGCTTCTTTTAGAAACATTGTTAGATAGTTCTTTCGTTTTATTGCCCGTTTTTTCCCGTAATAATCCAGAGAACCAGCTCTTGTTTCAATACACACATAGTATAAACAATCTAACTTCTGAAGAAAATCCATTTATTAATATTTAAGTTCCTCTGAAATACTTAGTGGTGAGCCTTTTACATCATTATCAATCTGTTTTGAAAGTTCAAATCTAACTTTCTTTATTTCCTTATTTTCTTTCCTTTGAAGTGCAGAATCAAAAGCTCTTTTCTTTTTTTCTTCATCTTCTTATTCTTTTAAATCCAGATAAGGACACTATTTTAAACTTATCCATTTTATAATAATCTAGCAAATGCAGTCGAAATATTCTACATAAACATATAACAAATAGAAGTTTGGGAAAATTAATTTCCAAAAGTTTCAAAATTATCGTCTTATTATGCTGTTTTTTTATTAATGCTTACACCGACCTGATTTTACGAAAAACCACAATCTTACAATTCCGTATTTGTGACATTGAAGTTGCGCGGCGGTTATAAAAAATGTCCGAACATAATTAAAATTTTTTATTGAAAATAAATAAATAATTAAAGTGTATAAGTACCTCTAACACACATAACAGTAACGCGCGTAACTTTTCGTTACGTGTGTTACCTTGAATAAAATTAATTATAAAATTTTAACTATTGGCAGTTTTAATTCGAGAATTTTTTCCGTTGCATATCTTGCCTTCTTAATTTATAAAACAAAAAATTTTTAAATTTTCTTTTTTACTAAAGTTTTTACAGAAAAAAATGCAAAATTATGTTACGTGTGTTACTGGGAAATTAGACTATCTTGATTAATCGACTTTCAAACAAGCAAAAAAATTTAGGCCAAATTAAAAAAATACATTAAACAATGATAAAAGAGTAAAATAGTTATATTTATTACTAAAAACTATTTTATTGCTCTTTAATATTTTAAGAACTCCATTGGAATATAACATAACAAAGAAGAGAACTCCTGTTAAAATTCATAGTGTTCCACCTTTTGTTAGAATTCACATAAATATTTTTTGTAATTCAAAAAACTATCTTAACTATTAAAAAATGTACATCTTCTAGATTCCGAAATTGTGTCATTTTTGATTTTACGATAATTTTGAAAATTTAGTCACTCAGGACCACTTTTCGTGGAATCGCCC